GGGAGAGGGAGGTCTGGGCCTCCCTTCTGAAGCTGCTGCCCCCGCGACCCGACCCCGGATAGGAGGAAGAAAATGGATGGATGGATGGATGGATGGATGAATGGATGGATGGATGGATGAATGGATGGATGGATGGATGAATAGATGGATGGATGAATGGATGGATGGATGGATGGAAGTACCTTTCAGTGTTTTACTGTAAAAACTAATTTGTTCTTGTTTTGTTTTCATCACGTCACATAAATATAGATTGATCTTTGGTGACTTTGGGATTTGAAGAGTTTTGTGACGTCTGCGAGGCCTCTGGTCAGGGTTCAGTCAGAGTTTCAGGCAGTTATTTATAAACGGTAAACATCTGGGACAGGTTCTGACACGTTGGGGTGTGACACACAACAACGTGACCCAAACCAGAAACCTGACGCTGTCTGTACTTTGTACAGAAAACACAAAACCTGGTAATGAAATATCAGGTGAAGATAAAACAGGTCCGTTAAGGAGGTGAAATCCTGGCTCAACTCTGAACATTTATCACTGCATCCAGTGACTCAGGAGATATTTTACTAACAGAAACCTTGGCCTTTTGGTGGCGGGTGATCGTGTCTTTGTGGCTGTTTGTTCGGGCTTCTTTGTATCTTTGTGGATAAATCAAAAACTTTTTGTACGTTTCAGAACCAGTCGGACCGGATCACACTCCCACGGCTCCCACGGAAGGTGGCTCTGCAGGCAGCTACAGGACCGCTTCCAGGAAAAGCTCCAGACGAGTTGCTGCACCTGCTGCAGGTGTTGTGAAACCATGACGTGTCTTTTAGGCACAAATGATTGACCTGCAAAAGGTTTACTTTGGAGAATTTAAATAAGTTACAATCAGAACAAAGTTAGATAACAGGCTCATGTTACTGAATGTTTAAACTTTGGTTAAATGTTTGGTTATTTCACTTCCTGTTTTCTGTTTTCTGCAGAAAAGAAACACGATTCTAAACCCTGCTGTTACAAATGACGACACATGAGGTGGTTACTCCCTACGAATCAGGAACACAAATGGTTCTGAGGCATCAGACCTGATCCAAACAAGCCCTGAAGATCAGTCAGCTCCCCCTCCCTGCCTGGAACCACACAGCAGAAAAACTTCAATTAGCAGAGCACAAGCTAAACGCAGCAAAACTATATTTAAAGCAACAGAATGATCAAGATATGAGTACAACAAATGTAAAATTTATCAAAACAGTAGCTAAAACCTGCTACACATATGCTAAAACTAACAAAAAATAGCAAAGCAAATGTTCAAAATGAACAAAACATGAGTTGAAGCTAAATTTATCAAAACAAGCTGAAAGAACTACAGGAAAAAAGTTAAAGGATGACACTATATTTATTAAAAAGTAGCTAAATAAATACTACAGTAAGCATTTTTAAAAACAGATTAAACATTTTGCAAAACAGAAGCTAACGTTACATAAAAATAAGCCAAAACGAGCAAAGCACCTGCTAACAGATGCTAAAGTTAACAAAATAAATGTTACATTTAACTGAGCAAAGCAAATATTACAATTAGCAAAACAGTAGCTAAAAGTATCAGACCTGGAGATAAAGCTAAAAATGACCAAAACAGAAGCTAAAAGCAGCAGAACAGTATTAAATTTAGCTAAATGGATGTTAAGTTGAAAAAAACGTTAAATTATTCACAAATGCTAAAGCTGGAATTAGCAAAACAGAAGCTAAAAGTAAACAAATGCTGAAGCAAACACTGTATTTAGTGAAACAGTTGAATTTTGCAAAACAGAAGCTAAAGTTAGCTTAAAAACCAGACAAATGAGCAAATCACATGATAAAATAAGGAAAGCAGATGCCAAAGTTATCAAAACAATTTATAAAAACGGGCAAAAATAACTAAATTAGCAAAACAGAAGCTGAGAGTATCAGACCTGGAGATAAAGCTAAAATAACCAAAACAGAAGCTAAAACCAGAACAGAACTGCAATTTGCTAAATATATGCTAGCTCAAATTAGTAAATCAGGAGCTAAAGGTAGCAGAATGATATTAAAATGAACTAAACAGATGCTAAAGTTAGCTAAATGTTAAGCTAAAATTATTTTCATGCCAAAACTGGAATCAGCAAAACAGTAGCTAAAAGCTAATAGCAGAACTTTACTCATATTTCTGCCAGCTTTACTGAAATGTGGTTTCAAAGGTGTTAATATCATGTTTCATATTTTCTATAGGAAATAACATTTTCTACAGCCTGCTGTTAAAATAATAATAAAACTTGAAGTGTTTTTTCTAAGAGCTAAAGTTTGAGAGCCAACAAGCAGTCGTCTTTTCAGAGTAAAACTGAAGTGAAGTGGCTCCCTCTGCTGTAAAACCAACAATCAGCAGAAATAAACACGTTTTATTCACTCTTAAATTAGAAATAATGAGGTTTTAGAGCTTAACTTCTGATTCCCTTCATCACGTTTATGAATTAAACAATAAAAAGTGATCATCCTGCTTTTCTTCGCAGATCAGTTTGAGCAGTCCTTTAAATAAATATTTGTTTCTTGTTTTTATATTGAGTAAAACTCTGTGTTCAAAGCCTGAAGGAGTGACCCTCACAGCCCTGACCTCTGCTGACCTCTGTTAATCTGTGGAGAGGCTAACCTGATCCACCTCAACGGCTCCGTTCTTCCCCGGATTAAAAAATAAGTCTTTTAGGAGATAACTGCAGCCATTCAGGGATCCTTTGATTCAAAACATAAAACAGGATGAAGATGGTWAAAATGAAATCAGGAGCTGCTGTGATAGAAACTTCGTTTATTAGTCTTTTCAGTGCTGGCTCTAGCCATTTTGGTGCCCTGGGCGAGTTGAAGCCCCCCGAACTATGTCCCACCCCAATTTTAACCCCTAAAAACAAGTTTGACAGTGTAAGGTACGATGGTAAACTTAGATTTATTTGCTTTCCCCCGCCCCCGGGTGTGAGTTGTATGGATTTTTTTGCAAAATTTACAGATTTTTGAGGCTTTTTATCCAGATAAACGTCTGAAGAGGTTGACATGTTTGGGACAACAAAATACAGACTTGTTGTTGAGTTTGTCAACAAGAACCGCTACCTGAGAGGCACTACTAGCCCCTCCCCCGTCAGTGTCGGAGCAGGACGAGTCAGTGCAACGTCAATCAAATGAGAGAGAGGGTGGGGGCGATTGTTGCATTCGGGGAGAGAAAATGTTTTATGGGTAGAGTAGTTTATTTTTCCTGTAATACTTCATTATAGTTTTTTTAAGACAAAGCTAATTTAAAGGGGCGCTGAGCAGAGTTACAACCAGGGATTACAAATAATTACTTTTTTCTCTGCAGTTCGACGCCCCCTCCAGCAGATGGCGCTCTAGGCGGCCGCCTAGTTCGCCTATGCCAAGAGCCGGCTCTGAGTCTTTTTGGTGAGTTTTTTGTCAAATAATTGAGAAAAGCAGAGAAACAGTTTCATCAGCAGTGTTTCAAACGGCTGACTCGAGACAGAGAGGGGATTTATTGTGGAGATAACTCGTGTTTAAACCTCATTTAATTGATTATTATATCAAGTGTTTTGCTTATTTTTGGTTTTTACCTGTTTTTCTGACAAACAGAAAACAAGCTATTTGTTTCCCCTTATTTAATCGATGATTCAGCATTTTTCTTCTAGTTTCAGATGTAAGAATTTTTTAATTTTCAGAATCTTTCTGCTGAAAACACTAAGGAGGTTTTCAAATATTTGATTTAGGAACCAGATAAGGTGGAGTTTTAAGTGGAGATCTTGATCCCCAACGCTGAGCTGACTCCACCTTCAGTCGTCTAAGCTCTATAAAGAATCGTTTCCCCCTCGCTAAAACCCTTCCACAGGAGATCCCATATCGCCTCCGCGGACACAGGAGGCTTTCAGTCCCGACAACCCCCCCGTCTTCGTCTGGAGCATGTCCTCTGCAGGTCTGGAGATCCTGGGGCTGATCCTGGCCGTGGCCGGGTGGCTGGGGGTGATGGTGGCCTGCGGCCTGCCCATGTGGAGGGTGGCGGCGTACGTGGGGCAGAACATCGTGGTGTCGCAGGTGATCTGGGAGGGTCTGTGGATGAACTGCTCGGTGCAGAGCACGGGCCAGATGCACTGCAGGGTGCACGAGTCCATGCTGGGGCTGCCGGCGGACCTGCAGGCGGCCCGCGCCCTGGTCATCGTCTCCATGGTGCTGAGCATCGTGGGCATCTGCCTGTCCGTGGCCGGCGCCAAGTGCACCAACTGCAGCCGGGACGCGGGCAGCAAGCCCCGCCTGGTGGTGGCCGCCGGGGGGACCTTCGTGGCGGCCGGGCTGCTGATGCTGGTGGCCGTGTCCTGGACGGCCCACGCCATCGTGCTGGGCTTCTACGACCCGCTGCTGGAGGAGACGGCCAAGAGGGAGTTCGGAAACGCTCTGTACTTCGGCTGGGCCGCCTCCTGCCTGCTGGTTCTGGGGGGGGCCCTGCTCTGCTGCTCCTGCCCGCGGCCCGCGGCGCCCGGCGGAGGCGGCTCCGCACCCTCCAGAGTGGACTACTCCACCGTCAAAACCACGTCAGTCAACCGGTACTCCAAGAGAGACTACGTCTGAGTGACTGCAGAGTTCAAACATCTGTAGATACTGCTGCGYATTTCTGAAATGTGGGTCTGCACTTAAMGTAAACAAAGAGCTTTACCTGCTGCTTTGATGCCATCACTGCAAAAACTGTCCATCAAACCAAGTTTTAAAACCTTTTATCAGCCAAAAAGTCTTTTTAATCTTGTTTTGAGACTGATTTACTAAACAAGAACTGATTGTGTAAGAATAATCATCTTGTTTTCAGAATGTGTAAGATTATTTGTCTTGTTAGTCTGAAAATTTGACTCAAATTAAGTCAAAACTTTCTGCCAGTGGAGTAAGAAAATTTTACTTGGTAAGATTCTTTAAATAAGAAAAAWTTGAGTCAAATCAAGTATTTCAAGAATCTTACCAAGTAAAATGTTCTTACTCCACTGGTAGAAATTTTGACTTAATTAGAGTCAAATTTTCAGACTAACAAGACAAATAATCTTACACATTCTGAAAACAAGATGATTATTCTTACACAATCAGTTCTTGTTTAGTAAATCAGTCTGAAAACAAGATCAAAAAGACTTTTTGGCTGATATAAGGTTTTAAAACTTGGTAACGTGGACAGTTTTTTACAGTGTTGGTCCTGTGTGACGTCCTGCTCTCAAACCTACTTCAACAACTATCAAAGCTCTGAAGATGATCTATGTCTGAACAATTAAAAGTTTGGATATAAAATCAGTCAGATTTCATCTCTGTAATGTTCCTGAAAACTGAATCTGATGATCTTTGATAGTTTTAATGTATCTTTAATTTTTAAATGTTTGACTGGTCTCACTGCACTGCTGCTGCTGGTTCCTGTTAAATCTGCAGGTTCTGTAACTCCAGGTGCATCCCAGGGTTGTATAAAGTACTTCAAAGTGATACTTGAGTAAAAGTACAAGTATC